CGAGATTGTATTTTCCTAGGAATTAATCCATTTCATCCACATTATCCAGCTTGTTGGCATATAGTTGTTCATAGTATTTTCTTACAGTCCTTTGTATTTCTGTGTTGTTAGTGGTTACTTCTCCACTTTTGTTTCTGATTTTATGTATTTGGGTCCTCTCTCTTTTGTTTCTTGATGAGTCTGGCTAACGGTTCATCAATTTTGTTTATCCTGTCAGAGAACCAGCTCTTGGTTTCATTAATTTTTTTGTATTTTTTTTTTTTTTAGTCTGTATGTCATTTATTTCTGCTCTGATCTTTATTATTTCCTTCCTTCTACTTACACTGGGCTTTTCTTGCTGTTCTCTTTCTACTTCTCTAAGTTGTAGGGTTAAATAGTTTATTGTTGATATTTCTTGTTTTTTGAGGTAGGCCTGTAGTGCTATGAACTTCCCTCTCAGGACTGCTTTTACTTTGTCCCAGAGATTTTGGGTTGTTGTTAGTTCATTTTCATTTGTTTCCAGGAAGTTTTGATATTTTCCTTGATCTTGTTGGTAACTCATTCATTGTTTAATAACATGCTATTTAGTCTCCATGTGTTTGAATGTTTCTGGGTGTTTCTACTGTAATTGATTTCTAATTTCATTCCATTGTGATCTGAGAAGAAGCGTGATATGATTTAATCTTGAACTTGTAGAGACTTGTTTTGAGTCCTGACATGTGGTCTACCTTTGTGAATGATCCATGTGCACTTAGAAGTGTATATATTCTGCAGCTTTGGGGTGAAATGTTCTGTAAATGTCAACTAAATCCATCTGATCCAGTGTGTCCTTTAGAGCAGCGGTCACCAGCCGGTGGTCCGCGGACCACTAGTGGTCCCTGAGGTCCAAAAGGTTGGTGACCGCTGCTTTAGAGTCACTGTTTCCTTGTTGATTTTTTGTCTGGAAGATCTATCCAGTAAAGTCAGCAGGGTTAGTCCTCTACTATGACTTTATTGTTGTCAGTCTCTCAAAGGCCTGTAGAAGTTGTTTTATATATTTAGTTGCTCCTTTATTGGGTGCATATATGTTTATCAGGTTTATATCCTCTTGTTGGATCAATTTCTTTAGTAATGTGTAGTGACCTTTGTTGTGCCCTGTAATGGCCTTCATTTTGAAGTCTATTTTGTTGTATATGAGTATTGCTACCTCAGCTTTTTTTTCTTTTCCATTTGTATGGAAAATTCTTTTCCACCCTTCACTCTCATCCTGTGTGTGTTTTTTGTTCTGAGGTGGGTCTCTTATAGACAGCATATAGTTGGGTCATGTTTTTGTATCCATTCAGCTACCCTATGTCATTTGATTGGAGCATTTAATCCATTTACATTTAAGGTCATTATTGATAGGTACTTATTCATTGCCATTTAATTCTGTATGCCTAGGTTTCTCTCTGTATTTCTTCTTCTCAATGCAGCAGTCCCTTTAAAGAGCCTTTCTTTCTTTTTCTTTCTTTCTTTTTTTTTAAAGAATTGACATGTTTAATGGTTTTACATTAGACTGTCTATAGGGAATTATAGCTATTTATTTTATTCTTAAAATCTTTATTGTTGAGATTATTACAGATGTCCCTCATTTTTCCCCCCATAGCTCCCCACCACCCGGTTCCCATCCTACCCCAGGTCCTTGCCACTCTATTTTCTGTGTCCATAGGTACTGCATACATGCATATAAGATCTTTGTCTAATCTCTTCCTGCACCCCCAACACACCCTTCCCTCTGAGAATCATCAGTCTGTTCCATTTCCATGCCCATGATTCTATTCAATTCACCAGTTTATTCTTTTCATTCATGTGATTTTTAGATTCACTTGTTAATAGATATGTATTTGTTGTTCATAATTTGTATCTTTACCTTTTTCTTCTTTTTA